ACAGGTAATTCATAATTTGCAAAAATACACTAAATTGAATTACAACTACTGCCACGTGTACAAGTAATTAACAATTTCAAATGAAGCCTTGGGCTTCGTTTGGGACGACTTTCTTACTGCTTCTTAAAGCAGCTTTCTAGTATAAAAATTTAAATTTTTGAACTAAAATTTACTTTAAGAAGCAATAAAAAAACCGTTCCAAACGAAGCCTGCGTTGCTCTTTTTTTTTTAGAAGACAAATAATTAAAATCAATTGCATTATGTATCAAATCAATTAGGTTGATCTATCTATATTCCTTGATCCTATGCTATCATTTGCCTCTTTTTCCTTTCTGTCTTATTACTTTCATTAATTGCTCTCAAGTCCTAATCAAAGATGAGCAACTAATTCACAGTAGAGCTGAGCTGAAAGCCTGAAAGCTGTAATTGTGAAGAACAGAAAGGGCCCAGCAAAGAATTTGAGGGACATAGAATAAGATTATGGTCCCTTCAAATGAAGGAGCTTAGCTGATAAGGTGTAGATATTATGGGCCATCTGATTGCTGATTTCCAACACAGAAAGAAGAATTTGAGGCTGATAGTAAATTGGGACCAGCGGTCATTTAAGTGTGTGTGCTGCATTTCTTGATGAGGCCATGGCTAGGTTGGCATGGTACAAGTGGGGGTTCCACATGTTTGCTTGCTTGTTTTAGCTGCATTTATTAATTCATTTCAATTTTATTTTATTTTTTGAAAAAGATTTTTTTTTTTTTGTGAATATGATGTTTATTTATTATTCGATTCGTATTTATTTTTGGGGCATTATTTATTATGTTGGATGGTTAATTTATTTGATATGTATTGATATGTGTGTTCTTCAGCAGTTCAGTCCGAAGAGGAGAAGGATCTGTTTGATATAACTATAGTTTTTTTATAAAGACGGTTAAAAAATTGTTGTAAGAAAAGTAACTTTTTAAAGCTGTTTTAAAAAAGCAGCTTTTTAGTTCAATAGTTAAGAAGAAAATGTACTTGCGATCTAAAAAGCAAAAAAATAAAAAAAATTGTCTCAAAATTTTTGGGGCATTATTTCTGTTGGATGGTTAATTTATTTGATATGTATTGATGTGCGTGTTCTTCAGTAGTTCAGTCTGCAGAGGAGAAGGGTCTGTTTGATATAACTATAGTTTTTTTATAAAGATGGTTATAAAATTGTTGTAAGAAAAGTAACTTTTTAAAGCTGTTTTAAAAAAGCAGCTTTTTAGTATATAAATTTCTTTAAAATAATGAGAAATCAATAGTTAAGAAGAAAATGTACTTGCGATCTAGAAAGCAAAAAAATAAAAAAAAAATTGTCTCAAACGAAGATTAAGTTTACATCAATAAATTTCTTTATTAGTGGAAAAGCTTCTCATATAAACACTTATATATATTATTAATTTCTTTATATATGTGAAAATGATTTACTAACCCTTCAAGGAGCCCATTAGCAACTCATTGCCCATGAACTTAGCAAGTCTTGGTGCAACTTGTTGAAATAGACTAGTGAACCCATTTTAGTGCTTTGAAAGCATAGCAAGCAATAATTCAAAGGCATTTTTTTAATTTTTTTTTCTTATGCAATATTGCAAAAGTGGCAATAAAAAGTTGAGAGCTTGATGAATGGGAATAATTGGTTTGTCAACTTGCTAGCGATGTTATCTTATACATGCGAGTGTGGCATCAATGATAGATGATATATATTGATTTATTCACTGTGACTAGCCATTAATAATGATAATGAAAATTGGCGAAAAAAAAAATCACTTTATGATTATAAGTGTGGTCATTGATGGTTGAAGTTGGGATGCAAGTGGTATGTCAATGATATTTATTGTTTTTCATTCATCAACAGATTAAAGAGATGATGGTTAAAAATAAGAGCGTAAAGCAATATTTCTAAAAGCTATATGAGTATTTAGGGTTCTTCTTCAATGTTGGAGCAACATTGTGTGCAACAATCTTTTCCTAAATCAAAGCATTAATGGGAGCTTCATGCATTGGCTTACTTTTTATTTATATGTTTAGTTAGGTCAGATATAGAGCATCAAAAGGCACATTTATGTACTTATATCTAGTTAAGTTTCAATCATATTCATGTTAAGTGGAGCATTCAAAAATTGAATGTGAAATAAATATTATAAAATTTATAGCTAGTTAATCAATGTTGATTGAATTTTATTTTTAGGTAATTTAACTATCTCTCTTTTTTTTTGTTTATAATAACATTAAAAAAATTTGATTTCTAATTCAAAATTCAAAATTCAAAATTAAATATAATCTTGTAAAGAACAACACTGCCATTTTTACATAAATTGAATAGCTCCCTAATCAATCATACTCGAGAAAAAAACTATTACAATCTCTTACTCTTATTCATTTGCATGGTTATAATTTTTGTAATCTAGTGTTATTTCTTTTAATATATAAATTTCGTATAAGCTGGATTATTGTATATAAATTTTGAACAATGAATTCAAATGGTATTTAGACTATTAGTATTGTTTTGAATGTTATAGTTAGCTTTGGTTTATTCTACACTGTGGTTGAGAAAAATTTAGGTTTAGAAATTTAATCCTTCCATTAGATCTCAAGCTGTCAAACGCAATTACTATTGCCCGTTCGTAATTCACTTTTTCTTATTGTCACAATGCACTTTATCTCTAGCTTTCAAATACCCAAATGGACACACATGATATAATAGAAGAAATATGCAAAGGATACTATAATAACTAATATTGAGTTGCAAAAGGATAAGATAATTATTATTAATGAGTAAAGAAGTATAATTATAGATTTATTAATGCATGTAATGAATTTTTTTTTCAAGAGAGAGAGATAGGGTTTAAGGGACTGAGCCATAGAATTTCAAGAAAAATCAAGAGGTGTCTATTATGGCTACCACTTAAGGAATGGTGAAAAAATGGCTAAATGGGCCACTTGCAACAATTGGAGAGCTACAACACATTTATGGATAGGAATATGACATGAAAAAATGTACAATGAGAACGTCAAACAACTTTATTGCAAGTATCAGAGTTTACTAGAAAAAAAAAACAATATTATGACACAGCTCACCTTGGTTTGTTGATAGGGACTTAATTGGGAGATTTAGTTACCAACCAAGAAGTCTTGGGTTCGAGTCTTGTTTATGTGATGTGAATGTGAGTTTACTTTAATTGGTTTAAATGTTCCAAAAAAAATACAACATATTTATGGAAGTATAAATATTACTTTAGATCTAATTAAGCTAACTAATCCTCATCAATGATCTACTTTTAGCCATTCCCCTCTTTGGAATAGATATATAGAAATACTATTAATATTTTCAATAGGAGTGTCAAAACGGGTTGATAGGTCATATTCAAGTTTGACCCAAATCCAATCAATCTGAACCTGACTCATTTATTAAATTGATCAAAAACATCAATTTGAACCCCAAGCAACTTAAATGAACCAAAACCGACCCATTAAATCGTTTTGATTAAAAAAAGTATAACTTAATAACTATACATTTATCATATTTGATAAAAAAATATAACATCAAACTCGCATGCAGAAAGAATTAAAGAAAAAATATATTAAATATATCATTTTTTGGTTAAAAATGAATTTGTTTGTCAACCCGAATCTGACTCATTTATTAAACGGGTCAACACGAGCGTAATTTTTTTGGATTGGGTTGATGGGTCGAGTCAATTTTTGACATCCCCAAGCAAATTTTATTAGGAGCGGTTGCCACTATCTTTGGGTCCAATTTGATGGCAGAGGTGACCATTACTCAAGATAGGCACATCAGATAGATCCCCCTAAAACAACACTTATATATATACCCCCAAGAATCTTCTACAATATACTTAAAAAAATCTTCCATTAATTTTTAAAATATTCCATTAAAAAAAAAAACTTCAAGAAATTTTGAGGAACCAAAAATCATTTAGCGGCATTTGGTTGGCTAAAAAATAGATGCATAGTAAAAAATATATAATATATTTGAAAATTTTTAAGTTTTTATGAGTATAAAACAAATGTAGGTGATTATTTTTTTAATTTGGCTTGAAGTAAAATGAATGTGGTGTAAATTTGAAAGATGGTGGTGGCTGACGTAAGGCGATGGGCGATGGATGCAAGCAATGGGTGATGTTGATGGTGGCTGGCAGTTGTGTTAGAGGCCAACAATGACCAGTGGATGGTTGTGTGCGACAACGATGCGTGTTGGTGGTGGCATTCGATCAATGGTATTGTCAAAGTATTTACGATGTATTTGAAAATCACATAAGTCTAACGATTACTAAATACACATCAAAATTGTATTAGAGAGTGCATTTCAAATACATCAAAATTTGCTTTTGAAATACTTTACATCTCTTTTACATAAGATTAACATCCTCTTGAAAAACTATAACTTTATAAGAGATTTGAAGAGTTTTTTAGGGATGAAAAATTTTGAATTCCAAATTTATCATGCATGGCTCATCTAAACCATGAATTCACCAAATGATTTTTTTTTTTCTTTTAATTTTTTTTAAATGTAAATGAAATAATTGGTCAAGCAATTTATTCAAACCACAAAGGAGATTATGGAGGTTTTTTTTTTTTAAGGATGGAAAATAAATACTTGCAAAGATATGGATTAAATCATATTTAACATGATTTTTAGAATTTTATTAGCCATCACAATGGAAATAAGTACAATACAAAAATTGACTGTGAAATGATATAGGTTTCATTTGGGACGAATTTTTTAGTGCTTCTTAAAGTAGCTTTTTAATAAAAAAATTTAAATTTTTACAAAAAAAAAAAGCTGCTTTAAGAAGCACTAAGAAAGCTTTCCCAAACAAAGCCATAATTTTTCTAAAAAAGTCACCCTGATCAGACCATAATAGCCATCACTTGGCACAACAACAAGAGTCAAATTACAAGCATGCCAAAAAGCACCCACAGCTTGTGCAGCATGCAAATGCTATGCAATTTCTTTACAAAAATGAAATAACATGAACACATTTTATTAACAAAATGTTAGCAAAACAAAGAACACCATAGAGAACAATTCTTATGTTTACTGTACAGTAACAACTGAATATTTAAAAAGAAAAAAAAACATTGAATACATTCTATATGGCGAAATTCAAAACAAAAGATAGCCTTCTATATATGAAAAAATAATAAGACCTCCAGGAAGTCAGGCCCATCTCGTAGCAACCAACAAGGCAATTTAAGAACCCAGCAATGGTGGCAGCAAGCAGCCCAGCATTATCAAACAGAATCAACAGCGAAGAATTTACAAAGTAAACAATTATTCTTCTTTCCACTCAAAAATCGCTGGACTTCAAAGCCAACTTTTATTCCACAAGCTTCTTATTACTTCACTACTTGGGACCAATTTAAATGAGTCACGGATTGTTTTCCTTTGGAAGAAGTTTATAATGATTTACTGCTCGTTCTTATCTCTGGAGAAGAATCTGCTAAATCCTCGGCCTAGTTTCTCTCCTGCAGATGATGAAGAAGATGACCTATGGCTCTTATTACTTTGGTGTTTTGTGCTGATAGGTGACTTAGTGAAGGGGCTTGGCTCTGAGTCAGATTGGCTCATGCGGGAGTTGTATGGATTTAATGGAGACTCTCCGCCAGTTTGCAATGTTTGGTCCCCTTGATCTGAAAGCTGCAGGCCATACAACAAGCCTTGAGTGTTCAAGGTACCTGCATCTTTTTCATCTTTCATGACATCACCAAGCCGCGGTCTCCGGTTCGGAGAAGAGTCCATTGGTTCTGCCGGACTACGCATTGATTGCAGTTGTTTGCTAAGAAGAAAAATAGTGTCCTGGCATTCAGCTAGCTTCTCTGCAGCTGCAGCTATATCTATTTCCTGCCATGTGATCAAGTGATATTGATGAGGCAATTAGTGTTTTTAATATAGTTTTAGGTTTCATTTGGGATGGCTTTCTAACTGCTTCTTAAAACAGCTTTCAAGTATAAAAATTAAAAATTTTGTACTAAAAAGCTACTTTAAGAAGTAGTAAGAAAGTCGTCCCAAACAAAGTCTTAGTACACTTTATTATATTCTATTGTAGTCAAGACAACGCAGCCTCCGATTGAAAAATCAGATGCGTGTGATGGCAGGTGAATAAATGCATGAACACTCGGTCATTGTAAAAGTAAAACACATTTGAAATAGTTTCAAAGAAGTTAGGATGAGTTATTAAGTACGATTCCACATATGATGGTATACTGAAATCGGTATTGAAGTTTGATTTACCATAACCCAATTGACAAGGTTTTTATATCCAATAAGTGTTTGGGCCTAGTTAGACACATCTAACTCCTGGATTTAAACCCTTTAGATAGAATGTAGTGGCTCATTGGACAGAGTTTGAAAGATTATTTCTACAACATAACTTTTTAAAGGCACATTGCGCAAAACTAATGAACGACTTAAGAAAATGGGAACAAGAAACAAAAGATAGTTCAAGAATACAATGCTCAGTTTGTCAAAATCATTATATTTGTTTTATCTGTTAGCCAACATGAAGATAAGAAAATCTACAAATTCCATTTTGGCTTGAGAGAGGATATAATGAAGTGTTTATCTGTAGTTAAATGCACTACATTCAGAGAGTTAGTGGATCGATTTATACATGCAAAAGTAAAGATTAATGTTTGTGAAGAAAAAAAGAAAAAAAAAACTACTAAAAAATGAAAGTACAGAGACATTCAGATAGAGAGAGATTCACAGATAAAACAACATAAGAATCATTAAAAAACAAAAACAAAAACAAAAAAATCTTCATCAACTTCTTAGCAGCAAGTGGCATTCAAAAACTTGCAATTTGATTGTTGGCAAGTGCTTCAACTATTACAATAAAGAGAATAAGGCCAAGGATTATTCTTTTAAGACCCGAGAGCAGTATAATCCTATACTTGCATGAGAGAATAACTTCAAATATCTGCATAAAATGTGTGGAAAAAATCGCATGGATGTTGGCACCACAAGTAAAATGGCAAAGGACAAAAAAGATAGTATCATCTTCAACCTCAAACTGCAATCACAACAATTTCTGAAAACTTAGCCATACTAATTAACAACTGCTTGCGTTACAATACCAGCAACAACAACTTTCAATGTCATATCATTAACATCAATAAATGGTATAGTATCACAAGGGTATGAAGATTTTACGAGAAGAGGGGAGTTAAACCTATACAATTTCTCTCAGTTTTATAATTGATTTTTTGGTGTGAAATGGCTTCATGGTTTTTTCCTAAATTCAAGCTTTTCCACGTTAAATTCCGGTGTTCTTTATCTACTATTTTTATCATGTTTGTTTCAATTTTGTTTACTCCCAACAATTATGTCATCATACTCATCTATGATAGTTACTCAGTGTGTTCATTATTATGACATCATTGTCAATAATATATATATGCCTGCAACACTTATTGTATATGCATTAGCCAAGTTTGATTCAATATTGGGAAAGCACTAGCCACCTATACATTATGTCGTGATAGATTATGAGTGAACTTTTGTATACCTAGTATGGTACCTTTTCGCTTTAATGGTGTTAGGGGACAATATCTTGTATTATATCAGCAATCAAAGAGTATTAATTTAAATGTAGTTCCAATAGTTCAAGAATTTGTTTATTCACTTCCTGATAATTTTCTTGAGTTACCATCTAATCATGAGATCAAGTTCACAATAGGTCTAACTTTGAGTACCACTCTAATTTCTAAAGCATCATATCATATGACAACTATTAAACTATAAAAGCTCAAGGTGTAGTTACAAAAATTACTTGATAAAGGGTTCAACAAACCCAACGTTTTGTTGTAGGGAGCATCACTTATGTTTCATAAAGAAGAAAGATGGATGCATGGGACTATACATTGACTATATAAGCTAAACAAAGTCATCACGAAGAACAAACATCCTCTGCCTCATATAGATGATCTCCTCGACATATTACAAGATTCTTTTGTGTTTTCTAAGATAGACATTCACTCCATGTATCATCAATTGAAGAGCATGAAAAAATACATATCTAAGAATGCTTTTCGATCCTGAGATGATCATTATGAATTTAAAATCATGCCTTTATTTAACTAATGCCCGTATGGATCTAAAGAATAAACTAGTCTTCAAAATTTGCTTAAACCATTTTGTGATTGTATTCATTAATGATATCTTGATTTACTATAAAAATTATAGGAAGCATGCATAACATCTCAAAGTTGTGTTGAATATTTTTCCAAAAAATAAACTTTATGTGAAATTCCTAAGTGTGAGTTTTAGCTTTAAGAGATGTCATTTCTTTGGACAATTATCAGTAGTGCTAGAAGAGCAAGAATAAATTATCTGAGGCCAGCACTATCACCGAGATTCATAGCTTTATTAGCCTAGCTTACAACTATCACTTCATCTCTAACTAAATAGACTAAAAAATCTATCAAGTTTGTGTGGTTAGATGCGTATGAGCTGAGTTTTCAAAAGCGCCAGAATTATTTAGTGTTAGCTCTTATCAACATTATTCTTTCTGGAACAGATTGATTTTAGATTTACAATAATACTTCACATCAAAGCTTAGGTTTTATCTGAATGCAACACAATAGAATGGTAACTTATGCTTCTAAGTAGCTCGAGTAGCATCAGAAGAACATTCTACGCATTATTTGAAACTAGCTGCAGTTATTTTTGTATCGAAAAATTTTAATACATTATATTTATCAATGTTTAAAATTGCGTATTCGGGTATTGAGGCGTTTTTCATTCGTGAGGCGAGTCGTAAGCCTCAAAATCAAAAGATTGCGTAAACATAAAATGATAAATTTTTTAAATACTAATGAGTGAATAATATAAAACATAAAAAAAATATAAGATATAAAGTGAAATCAAAATATCTCAATAATAAGACAACATGAAATATAGTTCAACTCAAAATTCTATCTTTCCCAAATCCCAGTATTCTTTTCATTAACATATAATTCCAATTTCTAAAAATAAATAGCAATGACATATCACATAAGAACTCATAAATCATCAGCACTGTCATCACTAAGGGGTTCTTCATTTGAATCATCATTATGATGAACTACTCTCTCCCCTTCCTCCTTTCCTATAGAGTCCAATGTCGGGCATTTACTTCAAGATTTATGTAAGTTTTAATATATATAGCGTGAGGCGTAAGCCTCATGCCAGTGAGGCGAGGCGGGCCTCAACCAAGTTGAGGTGCAAGCCTCATAACAAAAACTCGTGGCGTAAGCATCGAGGCATTTTTTACTGGAATTGCGCAAAGGCGAGCCTCATATTGCGCAATTTTAAACCATGATATTTATGATGTTGTGATATTTTCACTGATCATGAGAGTTTGAAGAGTATTTTTAATCATAAAAAGTTGAATTTGAGATTAAAAAGATAGCCTAAATTAATGAAGGATTGCGACCTACTTATTCAATATCATCAAGACAAGGCTAATATGGTTCTAGACGTGTTAAGCAGAAAATTTTCAACTTATGGAACGTGAATAGTCACTCAAGAGCAATAGTTAATACTCGGGATTGAGCAACTTCAACTTAAGGGTAATAGTTAGTACTTGAGATTAAGAGCTTCAACTGACAACATAAATAATAAAGTTTTGAAACCTAATACAGTGCACTGGAAACCCGTTTACCATTTAACAAGAATCACAAAACTGGTCGCATAGATCAAACATACAATTGACGAAGTGAAATCCGGGATGATACACCAGATTTCCATAACAGAAGTAAAACTAATGAAACTGTCAACTTATGGAACCAATCCTTTGCCTAACACTATGTAAGGGTATTTACTGCAAACTAGTTAAGCTCAACACCACAGTCCACACTTCTCTGTAACAACTCAAAAGAACTAAAATTGGCCAACTTATTACGAAATGTCCGAATTTCCCTTTTCACTGAACTCACTATATTTCAGTTTGTTATGGTTAAGTTGTAATGAAGTTGCTTAATCGCCAGTTGTTCTTTTTGCTAAAAGGTGAGTAAGTGCATGTACCCCACTAAATTTTAAACGTTATCTGTAAAATGCATTTAATTTATTTTTACAGTTAACCTACCATAAGCTAATTGAACTAAAGATTAAAAGTTCACCTAATATTGAACCTCCAAACTGTGTTTATAAACCAAGATATTAACATCCCTTGCAGATGAGGTAGTTTCAAAAGAGCATCTAAGAAAACCAAATATGACCTAGAGGCATGACCATGTAAATAGGTATGATGATGGTGAAAAAATGATGAACTTGTTAGCACAAGTCACAATATTTATGGTTATGAAACAACATGAAGGAGAATTCACACTATCCATTTGACAGAAGTTGAATTGGAAATTTCTGTCTCTTACCTGTTGGGTCTTTGAATTATCTACACTTGAAGGTAATGAGCATGTTGACCACTTCATGTTCCTTCATACAAAATATAAATAAAAAAAAAGATTCAGTCAAAGGAAAAGCAGAATACAAAAAAAAAAAACTTCATCATATGCATTGCGTAACACCAGAAAGAATAGTTTTTATTAGTAAAATAACTCCAGAAAATGACATAATAAAGAGTACAAGAAAACCTAATTTTACCGTTCTATCTGCTCTTTAAGTTCTTCGTATTTAGCGATATCTTCTTGGTGACAATGCTTTTCCTCCTGCAGCTCATTGTTCAAAGTTTCAGCTTTTGCATGCAGAAGGTCTAATTCAGCCCCTAGTTCTTCTTTTTGGGATTCCAAAATCTTATATGATTCAACCATACACTTCAACTGAGTCTCAGCAAAACTGTTTGACTTCTGACAAGAAGCTAGCTCTGATTTAAGCTCTGAAAGTTGCTTCTCAGTTTCTACTAAAGTAAAACTTGTTTGGCTTAGCATTTCCTTGCAATTAGCAAAATCCACCTCCATTTTTTCTTTCTCCAATTTCAAGCGCTCAAAATTAACCTGAGAGAGCGATGGTGTTGTGGTCTTTATTTCGAATCCAACACCAATGGACCCTTCAAATTCTGCACTGAAGGACGAATCAGGAACCACCGAAGAAGATCTTGACGGGCTTTCTTTCATTGGACCATGCTGAGTCACATTATTCTCTAATAAAGTTTCTTTGTCTATGCAATCTGAATTATTACTTTCCCCTTCATTTTCCTTCACTATCCGAATTTTATACCCAAGATCAATGGCTTCACATAGTACATGCGATAGAGCCACAATGAAATCATACAGACATACTTCTGTACACATTATCCTGTCTACAGAGGCAGAAAGCTCATCAATTTTCTTACCTATACCTACAAATTCATCAGAACTATTTTGAGTTTCTGCAGCATCTTTAACTAATGAAAGAAAAAATTCATGAATATGGGAAATGGCATCCTTCAATTGCTGGTCAACAACGTGTTTAACTTTAGAGCATGAATTGACAACTTGGTTTAAAGATGGTCCATCAGCTGTAATTTTCAGAATATCATTATGGCAATACTTTTGCTCAGTCAAGTTAGCTGTTGATAAATTTTCTTCTTTAAGCAACTCTTCCTGTGCATCCTGAATAACATACATAATATTTTCTATAATATTTTTCATCGTAGAGTCATGGGCTTGAGACTCAAATATGCAAGTTATTCTTGATTTAAGTTTCAGGTGCGGAAGCTGATTTTCATTTGAAGCATGTTCTGTGGGCAAATTCATCAATAATTCAGGATCTCCACATTTCTGTTCCTTACCATCCCCTTCATTTTTAGAATAAACCAAAGAGATAGGCTCAGCATTTTTAGTTTTAAAACCATTAGCCATGTTGCTATCACCACCGTTCTTTGTTGATAAGCATGCTAATCTCTCCATCTCTAAAAAGTCATCCATAAGTTCCAAATGATTTGAGTTTCCACCGACATGAGCTTTGTCAATACTTTTCTCTTTCTTCAAATGCGAGAACTCTGAGATTAATGCAGTAGACAAAGACCCTGAATAACTTCCATTTTCATCAAAAACATCTTCAGATATGGAGGTCAAGCCAGGTGAGTTACTTCCATTTTCAAAATGGCAATCAATAGGTGGTTTAGAAGTTGCTTTTTGTTGGTTTAGAACTAGCATATGTGTTTCGTAGCTACGAAGCTTATTTGCTTGTTTAGCGCACAAATTTCTTGATGCCTGCAGCTCATTGTTGCGCTTTGATAAGGCTTCTTTAAGCATCTTCATTTCTTCCTCCATGGCTAACAATCTCGCAGTGAGGAACTCATTATCTTTGTGAACCTGCTGAACACTTTCCAAGGCATACTCAGAAGGTGAAATATGGTAAGGACTAGAACTGTTCACAGGAGACCTCCGCAACCTGTTTTCCCCATTTTCTCTGCCTAGATTTTCAACTTCTAGTTTCATTTGAGCTAATGCAGCAGGTCCTGGTAGTTTCTTTCGGACAAGGCCTCGCAACCTTTGGCATTCAGCTTCTAGCTTTGTAATCTTTTTGACATCCTCCAAGTGTTGCTTGGTTGCAACTTCGGTGGATCTCATACTCATGTTCTTTTCTTCGTTGCGAATCTCCAGCTCTTTGGTGATGACATGAAATTCATACTTCAATGAATTTATTTCCCTTTCACATGAAAGTATATCATTATTAAGTACTTCAATTTGAGCCTCAGCCTGAGATTTTTCTTCACTAACTTGCATCAGCAAACTAGATCGTTCTTGAAGTGATCTCGAAAGTGCTGAATTTTCAGCTAATGCATTTTGTAGCTCTTGCTCAAAAGCGGTGATTTTCACATCACACTCAGCCTTGACTTTTTCCCACTGTTTTGTATTCGTAAACACCACATCATGTAACTTTTGTTCACTTTCTTCCTTCACATTTCGTATTTGTTTCATGCACTCCTTTAGAGCACCATCAAGATGGAGTGCTCTTTCTTCAGCAGCAATCTTCAGCGATGTGACAGATTCAAGTTGTTGTTTCAGAACTAAAGCTTCATTCTCAGCCTTTTCCCATCCTAAGAAAAGCATGAATGAATTTGGAAATTCGTCAAGAAACAAAAAGGAATTTATGCCTTACCAATATAAATTTCTCAGATAGCTGCTTCAAGAAGCAGTAAAAAAATCGTCCCAAACGAAGCCTAAAATACCTGAGACTGCCTCTTCTGCAACTTTGGCATGCTGCTTCACTAGATCGTCCTTTGCAGACATCTCTGATTGTGCTGATATCAGCTTTTCATTTAAGGCCTTGACTTGATCTTCCAATCCAGTAAGATGTGTGTACGACTCCATAGTAATTTGTAAAAACTTTTCATTCTTTGCATCATCCTAGAAAAATAACATATTAATCCAAAGAGAGTTGAGTTTGCCGCAAAGTACCAATACTATAACAACAATAACATCAAGCCTTTATCCCACTACATGAGGTCGGCTACATGAACCTTTTTTCTCCATTTTATTTGTTAAGAGTCAAATTCTCATTTAAATCTAATAAAAAAAGTCATTTCTAATATTTTCTAACATAGTCTTTTTAAGCCTATCTTTATCTCTCTTAATATAGGCCGCAAAGTACCAATAAGAAAAATAAAATATAATTGGTTTGTAGAACTAGAACAACAAAGGAAATCATGATGTTTCAAAAGACAGCATGTATTTTATATGCACAGTAGGTAATAATTCGAAAAATGCAAGCCATGAGAAACGAATCATCACAAAAATGAGCTAGAATTGAGACATGTTTCTACTTAAAGGAAATGCCCCTTTAACTTGATGAATGGAGGAGATGAATCAAATATCTTCACAAGTAGAGCAGAAATGGGTTTCTATCTTGAATTTTTTTATTTTCAAAAGCATGAAGCTTCATGCTACACTAGATCCATTTTATAGCTTTTAGAAGGAAGAAGAAACGCTATTACACATCCCAAAACAAGCAATGGAAAAAAGCATTAGTATCATTAAAATCTAAAGGAGATGTAATGCTGATCTGGAAGTTATGATGGCATTAGAAGTTAAGGTGCTATATTTGGGCAAACAAACTGGAAGTTGCTAATTATTCTTTAGGTATATAAATGTTGGCAGTCTATTTATGCTAAAGATAAACCTGCCAGTCAATATGTGAAAAAAGGCATAAATTTTTACAGCAACCCAAAAAAAGTCAATTGAAATATATGAACGTAGTATAACTTATAATATATCCTTTCGCACGCAGTACTGAAAAGTTGAAGAAATATCACTTCCAAATAATTTAAGCTTGAAAAGAAAAAAAACAGAAGCAAAAACTTAATAAAAAGAAATAAGTAGATTTGTGATCAGTCTAAGAAAAACCCCTTTCGCCTATTAAGTTTCAACTCAACCTTCTCTTTTTGATGTCCATTTGAATTAGGAAAGGATGCAACGACAGTATCAGTTGAAACTGCTGTCTTATCAGATGCCTTCTTCTTCCAAGGCCAACTGCGCCGATCCATCGCATGTATCAACTGCAAATTACAACTCATTAAGTAGTTTTATATTAATAAATAAAAGGTAAAATGAGAATTAAGAAGATTTTTAATATTGCAGAGAATTATATTGAATTTAAAATTAAAGTTTTAAACTGATGAAGGTGCATAGTGGATAATCTAAATAGCAGAGGGTTTAAAGGTGAGAAACTAAATTGATGATGAGGCATGGATATCATTATATAGGCAGGAAATGTTTATGACCCTCTTCTTTTTAACCCCATTTAGTTGATGTTTATTTGAACACACACAATGAGGAATGGTGCAATTTTTTAAATATAACATCAGGTTCTTTGAGTGATGGGCACTGATGCAATCAATGATTTTCATTTTGTATTTCTTACCTTTTGAATATTATGTAATTTTGGATTTTTTTTTTCTTTTATATACCATATGATGGAAGACAACCGATGAACATGCTAGGTTGGTGCTCTTAGGTAATTTCTCTCCTTTAATTTTTCCACTCATGATGATTTTATTTGCTTGCTTCCTTTTGGCTAAGTGGGAATTTACTTATGGGCTAATATTTCCTTATTGGGCTTGACCCATTTCTCTTTATCCTTAGTTGTTTTGTGTTTGGTGGCTGTTGGAATTTCTGCTGGGTTCCAAAGCAAAATTTGGACCTCTCTACTTGAATATTTTGCTGGGTTCCAATGCAGAATTCAGACCTCTCAACTTGAATATTTTGCTTGTTGGTTCCATGTGTTATGCGTTCCCCTCCCTTTGATATTTTCTATGTTGCGTTGGCTCCTATTAGCTGCTTGGGGGTGGCACATTTATGTGGCTGATTGGGTTTATTTTCCCCTATAAATGGGGGATTTTTGCTGCTAGTGGGGGGGTTGGTTGTTGGCTGAAATATTTTATAAACCTGAGGGTTTTTCTTTCTAGCTTGAGAGCTACCATCTTCCTCGACCTAATTCTTCTTCTAGTCTTCTATCTATTTCATCCCTCCACGGTTTCCCTTCCAATTGTATCATTCTTCTCCAAATATAGTGAATGTGGTGTGTTGTTTGGCCGGTTTATTGGTATTTGCCAGAGGAGTGCCGACCGGTGTTGGATCAAGATTTTTGTTGCGAACCACTAGTTTGAATTTTCCTTGGAGCACCAATTCCTAATTTTCATATTTGCATGTGAGGTGACCTTTTTTTAAGGTTGTTCTGAGGGTAGTTTATTTTATATATTAGTTTGTTTTTGCTAAGTTTCCTAGTAGTTCTCTCACATATGTTTTTATTAAGTTTTCTTTCTGGTGTTTCTATCTTTTGTTTATTGAAAGAGGTGTCATGTTTATCCTAGTGTTCTCCTATTTGGTTCTGGAACTTAGGTTACACCAATTTGGTATCAGAGCGTCTAGGTTGTTGTGTGAGTCTCACTTTCTTTCATAAAAATAAAAAAGGTGAAAATAAATAATCAAAATAATCAACAAGCAGATTGGCATTAAATGATTATACAACAAATGCCTAACCAACAGCAACAAATGGAAACAATGGTTGATACTCTGGTTTCCCTAAATATAAACAATACTCATGCTCAAAACAATGAAAGTGAAGATAAAGCACCACGAAATCAAAATAGAAATAATAGGCAATGGGATCCTGGGATTAAAATCGACGTTTGTGAATTTGAAGGCAAACTACAACCTGAACAATTTCTTGAATGGTTGAAAAAATAGATCAAATTTTTAAATAGAAAGAAATTCCTGAAAACAAGAAAGTTAGGTTTGCTAGTTTAAAACTGATGGGTCATGCATTACTTGGTGGAAAATTTTTCAAAATAATAGAATAAGGAGATAGAAAGAGAAAATTCAAACATGAGTAAGAATAAAAGAAAAAATGCAAGGAAAATTCATGCCTGCTGACCATTCCCAAACTTTGTTCCAATAATACAATAACATTCGCCAAGGAAATCAATCCATAGAAGAATACACTGAAAATTTCTACAAACTTCAATCCATAAATGACTTAAATGAAACTAAAGAACGAATCATAACATGATACATCAATGGATTAAAGTGGTCAATTCAAGATCAATTAAATCTACATCATATTATCAAACTCGATGAGGCCTATCATATTGCTTTGAAGATTGAAAAACAATAACAAAGAAACGAAACTAAAAGAATTGAGTCAACCAAGCTTAGACAATCTCTTGGAAGTAAAGTTCAAACTTCACAAACAACCATTGGATCAACTTCTTCAAATCTAAATCCACGAATGAAACCTAATGAAACTCTAGTAATTGAAAAAGGAAAAGGAGTGATAGGACCAAAACCAATTGGACCCTATTATAAATGTGGCTTGTATGGTCATCTGTCTGCAGCACGTAGAAAAAACAGGCCACCTAGAACCAACTATATTAAACAAGAGGAAAGCCATGAAAATTCAAAAAAAAAAAAAGAATCTGAAGAAGACAACAAGGAAGAGATGGAATCAATTGATGTTGAAGGTGACCAAGGAGATTATTATTTACCTATCCGTAGGATTTTGACCACCAAATCAAATGCTAGAGAAAAATGGCTTAGAAAAAATATTTTTCGAACCACATGTACGGTAGAAAAAAAAATCGTGTAACCTATTGATTGATAGTGGTAGTTTCAAAAATTTTGTGTCACAACTCATGTTGGATAAACTGAAATTAAAACCAAAACCACTTGTCAAGCCTTGCAAAATATCATGGTTTAAGGAAGGAGGAGAGATACCAATCACTCAGCAGTGCCTTGTCAGGCTTTCAATTGGAAATTTTTACAAAGACCAAGTATTATGTGACATTATTACACTCGAGGTTTGTCATGTTCTCCTGGGTCGACCTTGGCAATATGATCACAAAACCATTCAAAATGGAGAGAAAAACACTTACACCTTGACCCAAGAAAATAAGGAGTTCACTTTTTATCCCCAAAAGAAAATTTTTGACCCTCCCACAAAAAATGTCCAAATAACTTCAAAGTCACCCAATCCTGAATTGCTTCTCAATACAAATGAACTAAAAGACACAAAAGTGATTTATCTTGTGATAGAAAAAGAGAATGAAGTAAACAAAAAAATTCCTAAAGAAATTCAACATTTAATCAATGAATTTAAAGACATAACTCTTGAAGAACTACCTGATTCATTGCCTCCTCTAAGAGATATCCAATACCATATTAATCTTGTAACCGTGGCAAATTTACCACACCTGCCTCACTATCGTATGAGTCTTACTGAACATAAAGAACTCTGCAAACAAGTAACTAAACTCTTAACTAAAAGATTAATCAGAGAAAGCATGAGTCCATGTGTTGTCCAAGCCCTGCTTACCCCAAAAAAAGATGGAACTTGGAGGATGTGTCTTGACAGCCGAGCTATAAACAATATAAACATTAAGTATAGGTTTCTTATCCTAAGATTGACGATATGCTAGACATGCTTAGTGGTGCCAAAATTTTCTCCAAGATTGACTTGAGAAGTGGATATCATCAAATCCGAATACGACCTGGTGATGAGTGGAAAACAGCTTCTAAAACTAAGGACTCTACGAATTGATAGTTATACCTTTTGGACTATCAAATGCTCTTAGCACATTTATGCGAACCATGAATCATATCCTACATCCCTTTATTGAAAAATTTGTTGTGTTTTATTTTGATAACATACTGATTTATAGCACTTGTCTCAATGACCATCTTGAACATGTGAGACATGTCCTTCAAACTCTAAGAGAACAATGCTTATACATCAACTTAAAAAAGTGATCTTTCATGACTCCTAGTTTGACTTTCCTTGGATACATTGTCTCTGATGATGGTATTAAAGTGGAACACATTAAAATTGAAGCAATCCAGAGCTAGCCAACTCCAAAAAAAATTAGTGATGTGAGGGGATTTCATGGATTAGCCCCTTTTTACTGAAGATTCAGGAAAATTTTCAGTACTTTGATTTCACCCATCACTAACTGTCTTAAAAAGGGAACCTTAGGTAAACCCCTGACGCTGAAAAAGCATTTCATCAAATTAAGACAAAAATGAGCCAAGCACATATTATTAGATTACTTGATAAGATGTTTGAAGTAGACTGTGATGCTTCCCATGTTGGCATAGAAGTTGTCTTTAGTCAAGAGGGTCGACCTGTTGCTTTCTTTAGCAAAAAACTTAATGATACTCGATCCCGATATTCAACATATGATGTTGAGTTCTATGAGATTGTTTAAGCTCTAAAATTCTAGAGACATTATCTTATTCAAAGAGAATTTGTGCCAAGTTCTGATCATAAAGCACTACGATACTTAGGATCTCAGAAAATTTTGAATTGAAGACATGCTAAGTGTTCATTTTTTTACAAGAATATATGTTTCATCTTAAACACAAAGTTAGAACTTTGAATAGAGTCGTTGATTCCTTAAGCAGAAGAGCCCATTTGCTAGTAACTATCCACCCATTTGTGATTTCTCTTGATTACTTAAAAGATAGCTATGTCACTTACTCAAATTTTAAAATTATTTAAGAATCATGTTGTACTTCTAGAGTTGACCCTTCTACTCAATTTACCATCCAACAAAAATTTTTATTTAAGGGGACTAAGCTTTGTATTACCCAAAGCTCTTTACGTGACAAACTCATCCAAGAACTTCATGGTGGAGGATTACGAGGGCATTTTGGTCAAGGAAAAACTACAGCTTTAGTTGAAGAATGATATTTCTGACCCCACATGCAAAAACATATAACAAAAATTTTAAAATAATGTAAAATATGTCAAGAATTCAAATGAACCACTCAAAACACTAGTTTATACACTCCACTCCCAATTCCAAACAAACAGTGGGAAGATATCATTATGGATTTTATATTAGGATTACCTGTCACTGCCCAAAAGTTTGATTATGTATTTGTTGTTGTTGATCGATTTAACAAAATGGCACATTTCATCGCTTGCAAGAAAACCTCTGATGCTTCTCATGTCGCTGATTTATTTTTTAAAGAAATTATGAGACTACATGGCATACCCATAACTTTCACCTCTGATAAGGATAATAGGTTCTTAAGCCATTTTTGGAGAATGGATTTTACTCCAAGCCGAATTTCTTATAACAATTGCATCAACTGATCTACTGGAAAAACCCCTTTTGAAATTATTTATGGCCAACTTATTCCCCACATTTTAGACCGAACTTCATTACCCATGCCTAGTAAAATCAGTGTTGAAGCTACAAAAATTGTTGATCATATTCAATCGATCCAATGTCAAGTCCTAGAAAAACTACACAAGGAAAATGCTAAATACAAAACTACGGCTGACAAACAATGAAGAGAGTGTTATTTTCAAGACGGAGATTTAGTTATGGCTTATTTTTGACGACAGCGCTTTCCCATTGGTACTTTTGGAAAGCTAAGTTGAAAGAAATTTGGCCCTTTCTGAATACTTTGAATATTGGGAACAAAAGCTTATCTGTTGTATCTTTCACTTTTTGTTGGAACTTTACTTGTGTTTAATGTTGTTGACCTTACTACATATGAAGGAGAATTAACTGATTCAGTGGATCTAGAGACCTTACCCCTTACCTATCCAGCTCAGATCAAAGATGATCATATTGAAGATGTTTTGGACATCAGAACTACCCAGACAAGGCGTGGAATGCACAGGCGGTTCCTGGTTAAATGGTGTGGACGTCCTTTGACTGTCTAACGACCCAAATTTCTAGGTAATTAAATAAGTTTAATTAAAATAAATTAGTCTTTATTAATAATTATATATCTTGTTAAACAAAATATTAAATAAAAAGTGTGTTCTGAATAGATGCTTCCCTTGGGCAATTGTGAGAGCAGTTAGAGTAGTGGGGTCCACTCATTGATCCTTATCAGCATGCGGAATGCAACTAAAAATTCTCCTGTAGAAGCATTCGGTGAAGCCATTCATCACAGGGAGAGTTCGGAACTTCGCTCTCCCGGGACTGTAGCAAATGCGGCTGATTTGTGAAGGAAATTCACAGAATCCACTGTAGCTGGCGTCGGCATAGTGGTATTTGGCACGGGGCTTTTGTGATTGGCAGCCAGGGTTCACGGTAAGTATTTGCATGAAGTATTCATGTTGGTTTCCTGTAGCAAAATACAACGAAATAGCTAACGAGGTTTCGGTTTAGTGCAGAATTTTCTATTCCTTTGTTCGGCACAATGAAGGGAGCACTATAGCAGTTTGGAAATCAGCAGAAAATAGACAATATTATTGAGGAAATTCCATGAGAAGGATTTGCTTCCATGGCAATAGAGATTTGGCAATACAGGTATTATTTCATTAGTGAAATAGATTAATAGTGAAAAATAGTAATCAAGATTTAGAAGTGGTAATCTATTTTGTGATAAATTGTAGTTGATTCAAGAGTGTGAATGAATTGAGGACATATTGAAGGATTAAAGAAGGAGAATTATTCGTATATTTATGCAAAAAGAAAGTTTTGAGTTTGTGTATCAAAGGAAAGGGCTTCGTGGTGTAGGTTTTGAAGAGACCAACCGTGAGAAAGGTAAGTTATATAATTATTTATAATTGTAATAATCATGAATGTTTGGTATATTCCTTACGTCTTTTCATTTATTTATAAATGAAATATATTATGAGAATTTTGTTACTTGTCACGAGAATACTTTGGGGTATTCACAACTGTTTATACATGAGAACAAGAGAAATTTGATAGATGCCTAAGTGTGCTTATTTAAATCTTTTCTTAATTGATAATACTATGCAAAGAAGTTTTCTTTTCAAGTTAGTGCCTATCAAATTCTTACTACACAAGAAATGTATGAATGATGGAAAGATTATAACTAGTGAAATGAGATATGAATTATGATGGTATGATGTAAGGAATATCAAGTTAAAAGTAAAGATTGGCTATTTTATGATGCGAAGTCTGCAATATCAGGTGGGCAAAAGGGACTCAATTACTAAACATGTATTGTAGGTGGGTCAAAAAGGACCCCAAAAGAAAAGATATCTGCGTAGCAAATGGGGCAAAAGGGACCCCTAATGAGGCAAAAGGGAATTCAATGGTGATAATGTCAGGTTTACCTGAGCTCCATTGAATATTGTTCTGAATGTATAGCCAAGTCTTTTAAATATTTAATTTGATATTCCGTATAACTTCGAAGAGGTAAAGAATAATGTTAATTAAGATTTATGATGTTGCTATTAATAATAAGTGAGTTTAATGATTTATGAATTTAAGGCTTTAGTTTATTTCTCTTATTATATTATAATTGTGATTTAGATTATATAATTTGCTGGGCCTCATAGCTCACTAGTTACTTCTTACTGACTGTTTTTACAGGAAAAGGAAAAGCAGAGAAAGTTTGATATGCAAGAATTAAATTTTATGTCAATGTTTATTTAAATTTTGAAATATACTCTTGAGGTTAGTAAACATTTTTAAAGTTATATTACTTTGAATTGTTTTGAATTTCCTTAGTGGCTCTGTACTAAGTCTTTGATGTGATGAAATTTGGGAATTATTCGATTCTTCCTTTAAATGATGTTTATAGGATCTTTTATATAAATCTGGAATGATGAACAAAAATGAGTGGTAAAGAAATGGAAATGTTATGGTTATTCTTGTTATACTCTACCGTACTGTTATAGTGATACTGTGGGGTGTTAAAGACTGACTACACTTGGATTGAAGAAGAGGAATTACAGACTCATCATCATGATATCTATCAATGTATTAGTGAGGCATTCTCATAAGTAGATGAGATTCTTCCACCAGGGAAAAACTGATGCAATCAATGATTTTCATTTTGAATTTTTTACCTTTTAAATATTATGTAATTTTAGATTTTTTTTATTTTATATACCCTATGATGGAAGACAACCGATGAATATGCTAGGTTGGAGCTCTTAAGTAATTTCTCTCCTTTGATTTTTCCACTTATGATGATTTTATTTGCTTGCTTCCTTTTGGCTAAGTGGCCATTTATTTATGGGCTAATATTTCCTTATTGGGCTTGACCCATTTCTCTTTATCCTTAGTTGTTTGGTGACTGTTGGAATTTCTGCTGGGTTCCAAAGCATAATTTGGACCTCTCTACTTGAATATTTTGTTGGGTTCCAATGCAAAATTCAGACCTCTCAACTTGAATATTTTGCTTGTTGGTTCCCTGTGTTGTCCGTTCCCCTCCCTTAGCTATTTTCTATGTTGTGTTGGCTCCTATTAGCTGCTTGGGGGTGGCACATTTATGTGGTTGATTGGGTTTATTTTCCCCTATAAATGGGGGATTTTTGCTGCTAGTGGGGGGGTTGGTTGTTGGCTAAAATATTTTATAAACCTGAGGGTTTTTCTTTCTAGCTTGAGAGCTACCATCTTCCTCGACCTAATTCTTCTTCTAGTCTTCTATCTATTTCATCCCTCCACGGTTTCCCTTCGAATAGTATCATTCTTCTCCAAATATAGTGAATGTGGTGTGTTGATTGGCCGGTTTATTGGTATTTGCCGGAGGAGTGCCGAATGGTGTTGGATCAAGATTTTTGTTGCGAACCACTGGTTTGAATTTTCCTTGGAGCACCAATTCCTAATTTTCATATTTGCATGTGAGGTGACCTTTTTTTAAAGGTTGTTCTGAGGGTAGTTTATTTTATATATTAGTTTGTTTTTGCTAAGTTTCCTAGTAGTTCTCTTACATAAGTTTCTATTAAGTTTTCTTTCTGTTGTTTCTATCTTTTGTTTACTGAAAGAGGTGTCCTATTTATCCTAGTGTTCTCCTATTTGGTTCTGGAACTTAGGTTACACCAGGGACTGTGGGCCTAAACTCTGCTTGCAACAGAGCACATAAAAATTTAAATATAATTTTGATTGGAGTAAGATATGTACACACAGTCCACCTACATGCAACAACTAGTGGCTTTTGAGTAACTGTTGTTTTCCCATAAGTAGTATTAGCAAAACTTGATACTGTGTGTCAGCCTATTTGCAAGAAGCAACAAATGACCTATAGCACAATACTACGATTCACTTGCAAGGGGCAGGTAGAAGCCTCCTGATGCATCGTACAACTCATTTGCAAGCAAAAGTCTACTCCTGCAGGCTGAATGCTGAAGAAATTGACAACATGCAAAAGATGAAATGAGCCAAAATGCTGAAGCATGACAAATGAAACCTAACGCACTGATAACGTCACCTGATCCGTAACATTCACACAAACAAACATAAGGCATTCACAGAAACCTTAAGGAAACTCGTGCATCTTCTAAATGACGATCGCTTGCACAATTAAGCATATTCGAATATTGCAAAAATACCCCCATGCATTGAAATGCGCATTGATGCATTTACATTATACATGTATACATTGCAAAATACAAAATGCATCATGCAAGCATATTATCCAACATGTAAAATAGACTGTGTAGCGGCAGTGAGCTACGCCGATATGCAAATACTTCATGCATTATATGAAAACACTGGAGTATTATGCATATTCATTATGCAAGCAAATAGGCAATGCATAGATACGTTATACATGCATATCATATAAATATATTATACGCTACGTTAGCACGTTAAACCACTACATTGCATATCAAGCATATCATGCAAGATATAAATATATATGCCAATGCATATGTATGCATGCAAATACACAAATACATACGTCAGTATGTTAACATGCAGATGAAAGCATATGTGTTCAAACGTGAGCTTATATACCCGATGCATTGCAGATATATAATCGCTACACAAATATATTATGTAAAAGCATACACTCACATGGGCCCCGACGAGCATGGCATAGGCATACATGTGACATCTGGGGATGCTGGTGATGTATCAGTTCCGGCTAAACCGGCTTCTACAGGAGGCGGAATTCACCCGCCTCCCTTGGCTTGGCCCACCCATAGGGTGGGCCCCACTTGTCAGTTGTTTTTGAAATTTATACAGAGGGGGAGGCTGATGGAACTTGAGATGTGCAAAATTCGGAATCCAAGAAAACAGCCCAAAAACAATGGAAAAATGGAAGATTTCTTGGATAGAAACACTCACAAACACTTGGATTACTTAAATAACAAAAGACTTATAAGTTTCCACGGATACAATGTTAGGAGTTTTTTTCATGTTTTGATTGATCGGGAAATTAGGGTTCTAAGTGCTTGGGCTCTAGACTCTCTTGTCTAGAGATTTGGGAGAGACGATCCTCCTCTCGAATTGAGGGTCTCTTGTATCTTGTTTGAAGTTTGTCTCTTTTTCTTTCAATAAAGGCATTGTTATCTTGTGCTTGCTTTTCTACAATGTTTCTACGTTTTTCTCGATGTTTTTACTGATTTTGGTTAGGTTTACTTGCGAACTCAAGTAAATCTGATAGGATTACTTGTGAACTCAAGTATTTCCTATCAAATTGGTATCAGAGCAAGTCATGGGACCGGTGGAGGGCTGTTTTCGGCAAATTTCAGCAGTGATTCTTTGCCCGGAAGGAAGGAAGATTGCTATTTTTGGAGTTCAAAATCTAGATGTTGTGATTTTATAAACTCTGGATTGTGATGGCGGCTAAAAAGGTGGATGCTCTGAAGGAAAGGCTTGAAGGAGAGATGAATCAAATCAAAATGAAGATGGAGGAAAGGATTTCCTCCATGGAAGGACAAGTCGCCGAACTCCGGGACATGATGAAGAAAATGTTAGAAATTCAAAACCAAACGGCGACTTCCGTGGCAAAAGGAGGGAAAGGAAAAAGTATGAATTAGGAAATTCGTAGGGAGAAAGATGAGGCGGAAATCATGGAAGGAGAAAGAAGAAGACCCCATCTGGAGTTTGTCAAGAGGGAAGAAAGAGGGGGTGGATATGGGAAGCGCCAGGAGGGATACCATGGTTGTCGAGGTGCTGATTTTGAAGACATAAGGGGGGATTTCGAAGGGGGTTTGGGCTATGGGAGAGCAAGGGAAGACCGGGAAATATCGGGTCAACCTAGAACTTGGGAGAGGGGAAACTATGGAAGAATCAGAGGAAATGGGGGCGACCAGAAGGTGAGGAAGTTGAAGATGCCCATATTCGAAGGAGAATATGCGTACGGGTAGATTTACAAGATGGAGCAATAATTCGCTGTCAATGGGCTGACGAAGGAGGAGAAGCTGACAGCAGCGGGATTGTGCTTGAAAGGAAAAGTCCTGTCGTGGTATCAGTGGAGAGATCAAAGGAGGCCTATCAAGAACTGGAAGGAATTCAAAAACTGCATAATAGAACGTTCCCAAACCGACCGGGGAGAAGATTTCTATGAGTAGTTTTTTGCTCTGACACAGGAGGGATCAGTAGCAGACTACCGAGAGCGATTTGAGCACCTAGCTAGCAGGGTGGAGCGACTCTCATATACAATATTGGAGGAAAATTTCATGAAAGGGCTGAAGGCGGAGATCCGAGCAGCAGTGAAGATTTTGATGCCTCGTGACTTGGGGGAGGCCATGAAGTTGGCCCAACTGGTGGAAAATCATAGGAATTTGGAGAGGGAAGCCAGGAGTAGCAGCACCGGGGGGACTTACAGGATGACGACCACTCATCTAGCACCTAAAGGTCCTGCAACAGGAGGGAGTCAAGAGGCCACCAAGGAGAAGACAGACGGAGGAGGAAGCGGGGAAAATTTCAAGTGACAGACGAAGAAGGAGATGCAGGAGAAGAGGGCTAAGGGGTTGTGCTTCAGGTGCGATGAAAAATACACGCCAGGGCATCGGTGCAAGGACCGAACTCTTCAGGTTATCACCGTCTGTGATGATGAGGAAACTAAGGGAGATGAGCAGACAGAGGAAGATGGAGGAGAAGCTACACTTGGATTTAGCGAAGGTTTCCCTGCACTCAATGTTAGGATTCACTACGAATCATACCATGAAGGTGAAGGGGGAGATAGAGAACAGGGAGGTGGTGGTGCTGATAGATAGTGGTGCTACTCACAACTTCATTTCCACCCAGGTCATCGACCAATTGGGAGTGAGATTGGTGGATACCAGCTGCTACGGGGTGATGATGGGTACTGGAAAGGTGGAGAAAGGCTAGGGGATTTGCAAATGAGTGCGACTGACGATCCAAGGGATTCAGGTGAAGGAAGATTTTCTTCTACTAGAGCTTGGGAGTACAGATGTCATCCTGGGGATGAAATAGCTGCAAACTTTGGGAGACACCAAAGTAAATTGGGGAGCACTCACGATGGAGTTGATGGTAGATGGAAGGAAGGTGGTGATATAGGGAGATGCGGGGCTTTCCAAATCCCTGGTTTCTCTTAAAACGAAGGTGAGGGATATTCAGTTGGCCGGCGGATGGTATTTGGTGGAGCTGCACAGTTTGGAGGGAGTGAGATTGGAGAAGGGAGGGGACATACCCCTCTCCACTCGGCCGTTGACTCAGCAGTTCCAAGAGGTTTTAGTCACCTCAGGGATTGCCACCGCAAAGGGAGCAGGAGCACGCCATTGTATTGAGGGAGGGAGTGTCACCCATCAGTGTACGACTGTATCGCTACCCTCAGTTCCAGAAGGATGAAATCGAAAAGTTGATTAGAGAAATGCTGGAGGCAGAAA